TAAAAAAAGTTTCCTCTGCCTCAGGCTGGAGAGATGACTCAGAGAGCAGCTCTTCCAAAAGTCTTGAGTTCAATTCTCAGCAACCACATGGTGACTCACAGCCATCTCTAATAACATCTGGTGCCCTCTTCTGACATCATGCAGGTATACATGAAGACAGAACTCTGTCTATATAATAAATAAACAAATCTTGGGGAAAAAAAGATTCCTCTACCTCCCAAGTGCTAGTACTGCGGACCTGGGCCACCACACCTCCTTTTCTGTCGTGTGTGGGGTTGAGCCCGCAGCTTTGCATACGTTTGGCAAGCACTCTAACAAAATGACCTACAACTCAAGCTTAAAAAAAGAGACCATGGGTCTCTACATCGAAAATTAGAGCGTTTCCTCCAATCTGGTGACCTTTTAGAGTGGGAAGACCCAAAACACAACCTCTGAAGTCTCCATCATCTAAATGTCTTCAAAATGATTTTCCCCAGCAAAGTCCAAATCAAGTATGAGGGTTAAATGAAAACATTTTCAGACATGAAATACTTGGAAATGTACCATTCGTGCATTCTTTCTCAGGAAACCAGTACTGGAGGAGAGCTCAGTGAAAGATGCTTGCTTAGCTAAGCGTGGACCCAGCGCTAAGGAAAAAGAAGGACGACGGGAGAAAACTGCTTTTAGGATAACGTGCAGAGAGTGAGAGACTTTGAACACTCAGTCCTAAATGGGACGTTTTCATCAAACTCTTTGCAAGGCTCAAGGATCTTTGAGGAAGAGGAGGTAGAAAGAGGAGCCAGAGGTGATGGATGACTCCAAGAAAGCGGCATCTTTCAGACACAACAGGACTGATGCACATATGAACTCAAGAGACCGTGGCAGCACACGCAGACCTAGGTTCAAACTAGACAACATCCCAGCACCGAGAGGGGGAAGTCCCACTCCTAACCAAGAAGCTGTTTACCAATGATACTTGCCAGGAAAGAGAAAATCAGTTTTCTCCAATGGGGATGTCTCTGGTCTATCAACCACACCCCAGGCTCCACGCTCCGCCCAGCAGCCCCCAATCCCAGGCAGAACCTGTGATACCGATGGTGCCATCTCACGCTGAGCGGGCTTCCTGAAAAGGAGCTTTTCTTGAAGTTTCAAGGTCACACAAATTTGAACAATTACCGATTGCCCTGCCAAAAGGGTCCTCTCCTGACACAAACAGAAAGACGTGCCCAAAGAAATCTTTCTCTTCTCTTAAACACGAAGCTTAGACTTTCTTGATATAACTTCATCTAAATGAGAGGGGATTAATATCCGGTGACCTATGAACTTCGTTGATTATTACTGCAGAGACTGATAACACGAAAGGGTTGTTGGGTTTGGGATGTGTCCCATTCTGTTACCTGAAGTTCTCATTCCTGCCACCCGAGGGCACTATTGGAAAACAAAAAGCCCGGGGTCAGGTCTTCGTGGTCAAGGCTGCTGAGGGAGTGGCTAGGCGAGTTCAAAGTCGGGGCATGTGGTGGAAGTTTGCATATGTTCTGAGCAGAGCGAGCAACAGCAGGTGGCTCTAACAAGCAAATTTGTGGCAGAGCCTGAAGAGATTCCTTTGAGGCCTCGATGCTACACCACGGAGGAGGCCTTTTGCCTCTTCCTGGGTGGGGGTTGAGCTTATCATGGATTCACCGGCAGGGTGTGGCGTGGGAAGGCCTGCTCTTTATCCTTATTCCTTACAGTAGAGAGGCTGGATTGAAGATTGCTGGGTACCTATGTCCTTGTCCAAGAGGGGGAACATCACTCAGAAACACAACGAATCCTGGCAGCAAGGTCTGGCTCTAGGCTGAGAGGCTGGCCGGTTGGTGGGGACCAAAGAGGAGTAAGGGTCTGCGGGGAAAATACCAATTAGACAAACTGGTCACATATGGGAGGGTGATGCTGCAGTTCGTGGTGTCTGTTAATTCTTTCCAAAAGGAAGAATCAGAGACTGGAGGTGGGTGCAGGGACAGGGAGACTGAACATGGACTTTAAAGTCCTCAAATATAGAATAAGTACATAAAAGTATACAGTGGACGGGTTATAATCCTAGCCACTTAGAAGACCTGATGCGGAGGGATCACAAGTTCAAAGCCTGCCTGGGCTACAGAGTTCAAGAACAGCCTAGGCTACTTAGTGAGACTCTGTCTCAAAATAAAAAGTAAAAAGGGGAAGGGGTCTAGCTTAGTGGTAGCTCTCTCTCTCTCTCTTTTTTTTTAAAGGTTTATTTATTATGTATACAGTGTTCTGCTTACATGTATACCTGCAGGCCAGGGAGGGCACCAGATCTCATTACAGATGGTTGTGAGCCACCATGTGGTTACTGGGGATTGAACTCAGGACCTCTGGAAGAACATGGAGTGCTCTTAACCTCTGAGCCATCTCTCCAGTCTAGTGGTAGTTCTTATCTAGCATGTTCAATAAACACACACACACACACACACACACACACACACACACACACGGCAGATAGTGAACAGTATCCAGTTTGTTATTTCTGTTGTTACTTGAACACGACCTTAGAAGTCAGGCTTGTGGCACCTAGTGAAGGGACCAGCTCCCCATTTCGGCAGCCATGACAGTAACACATGCTTGCCATGACCTTGTCCTAGTCACTAGAAGTCAGGTGCCTGCCTCGTGGCAAGGATCCAATCAGAAGTTAGCTGGGGGCGCTATGCTTTACAGCTCTGGGTGTGCTTTACCGATAAGTGCACAGCAATGACGCTCAGAGCATAGTAACCACCCTGGGAGGGCCTATGGGCCATAACAACCAATTGGCCAATCAACCCAGGGAAAGCCCTCCAAGCCTGGAGGCACACCAATGCTGTGCCTGAGCATATCCCTAGACACTCCCCTTATGCTGCCCTATAAGATCTCTTTGCAGCCCCTTTGAGCTGTCTTTGCTAGCCATCCACCAAGGCAGGTGGGTGAAAAACACGAGCTAACATGGGATTAGCTCGTTAAACAACAATAAAGCCTCATGCAGTTTGCAGCAAGTTTTTGAATCCACCTGGTGATTGGGGTGACCGAGGTCCTGGGCTGGGACCCCAGAGGCCTGAGTTTCCCGTCTAACATTAGGAATCCAGAGGCTCCCAGGAATGAGCCCAGCCAGAGTCATGAGCTGTTGCTCATGTAGAATTCCAAGCAGGAATTCTCTACTGGACTCACGTTACTCATGGTCCACATTAATTCCCTTTGAGTCTCATGTTCTCTCCTATTCCCAAGCACATTCAAACTCCTGGGAGTACCCCCCTTTCCTAGCAACACCTCTTTGACATTCCATCCACCCAGCTCGGTGCTCTGCCAGGCTTGTGCGGAGATCTGCAGCCATCCTCCCTGCCCTTGCCGTTGTCTCTCCCTTGTCCCAGGAGTCTCTCAGTTCTGAGTCTCTCAACCTGAACCACGTACCATGGAAGCCAAGTGTCTGTTGTGGTGGAGTCAGAGAGAGAGGAGGAAAAGGGAATTAGAGGAATTGATGCGGGAAATCCAGAGATGTCTTTATCTGCCTTCCTCCAGGGTGTCTCCCTGCAGGCTCCATTCTCCTCACCCCACCCCCACCACAGTTGCTTCTTTTGGAAGAAATTCACAGAGCCTTTTCTCCTGTTGACGATGACTAGGGGTGTTTTTGTTTATTTTGAGACTGGCTGGCCAGCCATAGACCAGACTGGCCTTGAATTTGCAGATCTTTCTGCTTCTGCCATTCACATCCTGTCAGTGATTAGTTTTTCCTAAATTGCAAAGAAGGAAATACATTCTTTACTTTGTTGTCTTGCATGCACAGCCTGAGGCATCTGGTGGAGGAATCCACACGGGTACAGGAATACACCCTTGTATTTGTGCATTTACTTTAAGGTGTGGCTGATTCTCTGGGGCAGGTTCCTAGTTACCTTCTTGCTCTGCAGTCCTGCTGAGTCTCCTCTGAAAGGGTAGCATTACCAGCTTCTATACACTAGTGCTCTTTAAAATGTTTTTGCTCCCCAGACTGATAGCTGGAAAACCAGCATGGGACTGATCCAGACCTTATGAATGTGGACCTCAGTGAGGAGACCTTGGAAATCTATGGGGCCTTTTGTAGTAGATCAGTACTTATCCCTAGCATAGGAATAGACTTTGGGAGTCCATTCCACATAGAGGGATACTCCCTGAGCCTAGACACAAGGGGGTGGGCCTAGGCCCTATCCCAAAGTATATGACAGACTCTGAAGACCCCTCCTATGGAAGGCCTCACCCTTCCTGGGGAGCAGAAAGGATATGGGATAGGTAGGGTGTTAGTTGGGGGGGTTGGGGGAGGGGAGGCAGAGGGAATTGGGATTGACATGTAAAATAATCTTGTTTCTAAATGAAAAATGGACAGAAAAAATGTTTTTGTTCTTTATTGGAGCTAAAAACAGAAGACCTTTTGCTTAATGTTACAGTTCTCACTGCAGCTCCCTTTGTTTGCTTTGAGATGAAGGCCTCGAAATGTCTGGCTGCCCTGAACATCTGGACTGAGGTGATCCTCCTGACTCAGTTTCCTCAGTAGTGAGAGCAATTAACAAGCTCTGAGTGATGTAGTCCTGGAGCAAGGACATTTTGAGTAAGGAGCACATGTGGGTGGAGATAGGCACACCTTTGAATTCTTTTGTTTTGTTTTTTGGTTTTTCGAGACAGGGTTTCTCTGTGTAGCTTTGGAGCCTGTCCGGGAACTCGCTCTGTAGACCAGGCGGGCTTCGAACTCATAGAGATCCCCCTGCCTCTGCCTCCCGAGTGCTGGGATTAAAGGCGTGAGCCACCAATGCCCGGCTCATCTTTGAATTCTTAATGTGTGGCATAGACACCTTAGCGGGCAGAGCAAATTGTAGACTGTATCCTTCCTTTTAGAAAACTCATGAACAGTTTTATTTTTGTGTAAACTCAATTTAAGAACCATTTGTTTTTACTGGAAATCTCTCACAGTCCCGAGTACTCCCCTCCCACCCCCCCAATATATTTTAAATTATTAGGCGGAACCTTACCTTGGATGTGTTTTATTACAAGCTGCACATTAATGTCCACATTTTTAGCAGTTGGATCAAACACACAAAGTTCGTCAACTAAGTACTTGTTAATGTACTGTGAACAAAGAACAAAGGAAAAGTTATGTGATTGCCCAGTAGAGACACAGAGCCCAGCCTGACCGCTTAAAGGATCCCACACAGGTGCATTCTTATCAGGCAGAATGAATCTCTGCTGTTAGATGTCAAGATCACAGTTAGCTTTGGGGTATGGTCTGGGGAGAGGGCTTGTGAGGAAGGATACAAAACATGGGCTTTTGAGATGTCACCTGTGTTGTCTGTGAACACAGGGGTGGGTTATGAGGATGTCTTTACTATGAGAAGGTTCTTGTATACCTGTGAGTTATACCATCATAATTTGTACATCAAAAAAAATAAAAATAAAAAAGATTTCCCCAAACTCACAAACTTCCACTTATCCCATTCTTCTAAGCTACTGGCAGAGTCCATCTCCTGCTGGGAGAATAAGATTGCTGCTTTCAGCATGTCATGCACGAGGACCACATTGGCATTTATTTCCTGGGGGTCGATGTCATGAAAAAATGCTGGGTCCGCTTGAGGTCTGTGCTCATAGAGCAGCAGTGATACAAATTCCATGGAACTGAGGGCCTGGAGGCATTCCTGAATCTCCTGCAGCATGACCCGGAAGAAGAGAATTCCTGCCCGAGTGACTTCGCCTGCCTTTTCCAACTCTGCAATTACACACATTCTAATTGCATATACTATTCTTTCACAGGATTCTGAGTATATTATAATAAACTATTTTTTAGGCAAAAAGAGAACCATGCCCCATGACTTTAAGCAATCTTAGTTTCTCTAATCATGAAATAAAAAATCAAAATAGAATTATAACTGATGCATCATTTAGGGAATAAAAGGTGAAAAAATTAGGGCTTAGTTTGATATATATATATTCCTTTTATATGTATTCCATACACACACACACACACACACATATTCCTTTTATATATATTCCATACACACACACACACACACACACACACACATATATATATTCCTTTTATATATATTACACACACACACGGAATAGGGCCAATCCCCACTTCTTTGGTGAGACATGGGAATTAAAGGAATGGAGTACTTAGTCTTGTGGGACCTGGTACCACAGGCCTATAATCCAAGCTTTGTGGAAGGCTGAGGCAGGGGGTTTATGAGTTCAAGGTCTTCCGTGAATGTTATAGCAAATTCAAGGCCAGCTTGGACAATGTTGTGAGACCTTATCTCAAAATAAAAATGAAAAGCAGGGCTAGGGACATAGCTTATTGGTAGAATGCCTGCCTTGTCTCTGGGGTTAATCCCCAGGGCTTCCAATAGAAGCTGTTTGGTCCCAGGATTTGCACACACTGAACACTTTCAGGGCCTGCATTATCTTTTTCCTTTTCCCCCTTCCCACCTTTATTTTCTTTCTCATCTTAAGTGATCCTTCTGCATTAGCCTCTAAAGTAGCTCGGATTACAGGTTGGTGTCACCACACTCAGCCTTCTTTCTTCTATCACACTCTGTATAATAGCTACAAATTGTTCCACTTAATCCCACACACTGTTACTCTAAATCTATTCAATTCATTCCAGCTGAGGGTTTCCATGCTTTCTTCTCACTCATTCTCTAAGATGATATTATGCTAACGGTAGCCCAGGGTACATGGAGTCACAAGAACTAGGGAAGTGGTCTTGGCCCAGCCAGTGGCTTGTTATTCAACTTTGGAAAAATTCACTTTACCTTTGTAGGTTTTAGCTGTTTAATCTGTAAAATGAGATGTTTAAATTATTTGATGATGGGTAAAACTGTGGAAAAAATAGCCAAAAAAAAGTTTGAGTCCAGCTTTTTACCATCTGTTGTTTACTTTTACTGAATCTCACTTTCCGGGCCTGTGAAATGGGTTACTACTATTGCCCTCATGAAGTTATGGCAAAGGCAATGGAAGTGAATATTTAACACATTTCACAGCAGATGGGTCATCTTACCTTCTAAGGGTAAGGTCCTAACAGAGACAATGGTGTGTTTGCCCTTTGCTAGGTTATAGAGCGTACATACCCCATCCCCAGGGTAAGCCTGCAGTAGGGAATTCTTTTAACATGGAAAGATCAACATAGAGACATGATCAACTTTGGAAACCACATCCTTCATCTCAGTGTCTGTGATTTCCTCTAAGCAAACCACGAATCCTGACTGTTAGCATATCCATAATACCTAAGACCTCATTTTTCTTGATTTCTCCAGATAATTCGCCCAGTATCTCATTGGAGGCATTTTGGATCATCTTCACCATTTTCTGTAGATCTTTATATTCTTGATACACCAGCATCCTACTCTGGCCAAGATTAACATCGAGGACCCCCAAAGCCTCTCTTGTTCTTTCACGAAGTGGAATTACAATGTGGGTCTCTCCACTGGTAGAAGCCAAAATAACTTCTGAAGTGTCAATGCACTTAAAGAGGAAATCTCTGAAACCAAACCAAATCAGCACAGGTCTGTTACACATCGGCCTGTTCACAGCATTCCACCAATGCCTACCTTGTCCCAACGCACCACCCTTGTTCTTTTATCTGCCTAGAGAGCTGCACCCATCAATTTCGTACGACTGTCCTTTGGTTCATCTCACTTGGATACTTCTCTTTGCGAGCATCCCTTCAGCAGGGAGCCTTCCCTGACAAGCTCGCCTCAGGTAGCAGCCCCAGGTTGTTCTGCGTCACGAGGCTCTGCTCCACTGTCTAACATAGGGCAGTTATATCTGAAGGTATGTTTTTTTTTGTTTGCTTTTTTAAAGTGTACTGATAGTCTAAAATGTGTTACAAGAGTACTGGAAGTTTCCTCAGAAGCAGACCCTCAGACTCCCTGGAGAAGCCAGGGGACTCAGGAGGCAGGGTTGGGCGGAGCGGGGTAAATGCAGATCCAGTCTGCTCAGCCTAGTCCCAAGGAGGAGACCCAGGATGTCAATTATAACAACGACTAAGTCTTATTTCAAGGCAAGGGAGACTTTGGCATCCTAGCACTAGTGTGCTCTTGGCTGTCAGCTGCTCTAGGTGTATGGTGGGGGTCTGGGATGGGAGAGTTCAGGGAAATCTTGGGTAGCTCCTAGGGGGCTCTAACCACTTGAGAGCACTTCCTTAGAGAAAGTTTCCCTGCAGGGAAGCTGTAGCAGTGGTTATAGCATCTGGCCAGAGGCATGTTGAGGATCTGCTTCAGCGAGAGAGTGAGATTTTTTTTTTCTTTTCATGGAAATGTAGTGGCTGCTTCCTTCTCTAGTGAGGCAGACACATCTCTTTTAGAAGCGCAGCCGCTCCTGTTTGCGATGAGACGGACACATGCACTCTAATGTTCATAGAACAGTGAACAGAATAAGTGTTGTTTGGTAAATTTAAGGAACCATAAACGGGCTATGAGAACAGTGTGCTAATAAAGGCAGAGGCTATGTCTTCAGGTCCATGATCACCCTCGGATGAACCAGATGTGTCTTATACCTGAAGATGCACGACTTCCTTGAAATGGTTGGGGGCTCTGTATAGATTTCTGTTAGATCAAGAAATTCTGTAACCATCATTTTGCGTAAAACATAGTCTTCCTGAGAAACGGAAAGAGATCTCATTAGAAAGCGATAATTGAACCTTTTGGGTTTGATAAAGAGGGAAAAACTAGGGAAGTTTAGATGAGTTCTGGCTTTAAGGATACTGACATTGTACATATTCTCTGGGCCATTAAAGGACAATATTGTAAAAGTAAAAATTTTCAAAAGAATAAGGTTATTTTAATACATAATGTTTTTTATACCTGAAAAAAGCTTTTTTTTTTTTTTTTTCTGCTTTGAGACAGTGTTTCACTATGTAGGCTTGGCTGGCCTGGAACTCCCTGTGTAGACCAGGCTGGCCTCAGACTCATAAAGAACACCTGTCTCTGCCTCTTGAAGACAAGTATTAAAAATGTGTGCCATCACACCTGGCTAGGTTGTGTGGCTATTGTGTTTCTCATATTAAAATGTGCATTGTGGGCTGCTATGGTAGTACATGTCTGTAATCCCAGCACTTGGGAGGTGGCAATGGAAGGACCATAAATTTAAAGTTAATCTTGGCTATGTGGGGAATTCCACCGAGCCAGCCTAGTTAAGATGCTATCACAATAAACAACCACAAAAAATCACTGTAAAACATTCAGAAAATATATAAAAGCCCATGGAAAAATAAGTACAATAAAAATATTCTTCAATAAGGTCATTACCCTACTACTTCACTACAACTATTGCTGTCTAGGTTCTGAATGAGTCATTTTCAAGTCTATTGGATAAATACTAGTCATCATCATGTACTGTTTGGCAACATTTTATTTGTTGAACATTCACTTTTTTTCTTTTCAGAGGCAGGGTCTTGCTATGTCATTTTGGATGGAACTTGCTATGTAGACCAGGGGAGACTTGAATTCATGAAGATTCACCTGTCTCTGCCTTTCCAGTGCTAGAATTAAGGAAAGGTGTGTGTCACTGAGCACTTCTTTTTTTTAAGATTTATTTTTATTTTTAATTCTGTATGTCTATGTGTGGGTATATACCTATGAGTGAAGGTGCCCTTGGAGGCCAGAGGCATCAGATCCCCTGAAGCTGCAGTTACAGGTATTTGTGAGTCATTCAGTGTGGGTTCTGGGAATTGAACTCCTGTCCTCCGAAAGAGCAGGATGCACCCTTATCCACTGAGCCATCTCACCAGCATAACACACACTTCTTGATAAGCTTTTCTTCATGTGGCTTTTAGGACCCCACTTTCCACTCTCTCCTGGTTTTCCTCCTACCTCACCAATGTGATTTTTCATTCTCCTTGTTCATCTTTAACTTCCCTTACCTCTAAGCAGTTTTCAACCTTCAGGACACATCTTATAGCCTCTTAAATGTAAGTTGCAAACCACCAAATGTAGGGGGGGTTTACATAAAATTTTCATCATTAAATGTTTCTGAATGTGCAATGACTAACAATTCATTCAAAATAAAAATGAATTGAGATGCTTCCAGCAGCTTTTGTCCATGTTTTATCATGTGACATACAACATATGCCCCATGTCATGCCACGAAACACCAAGGAGCAATGCCTGACACACCTTGGCTCAGATTCAAGTTACAAACTGCTATGTTTTCATTATATATGCAAAGCAATCTGCTCTTACAGAAACATAATGGTTTAATTGGGGGAACAAAGACTCTATCTATCTATCTATCTATCTATCTATCTATCTATCTATCTATCGTCCATCCATCTATTCTTCTCTCATATATTATACCCTGACCTAGTTTCCCCTCCCTTCTCTGCTCTTCCCCAGATCTACCCCTCTTCCCCAGATCTACTCCTCCTCCAGTTTCCTTCAGAAAAAGACAGGCCTCCCAGGGATAGCAACCAAACATGGCATATCAAGGTACAATAAGACTAGGCATCTCTCCTAATATTAAGGCTTGAAATGGGCAACCTAGTAGGAGGAAAAGGATCCTAAAAGCAAGCAAAAGAGTCAGAGACAGCCCCTACTCCCACTGTTAGGAGTCTCACAAGAGGACCAAACTCCACAATCACGACACATGTGCAGAGGTCTTAGGTCAGTCCCATGCAGGCTCCCTGGTTGCCTGGTTGTCAGTTTCCGTGAGCTCCCATGAGCCCTGGTTAGTTGATTCTGTGGGTTTTCTTGTGGTGTCCTTGACCCCTCTCCTTCCTCCTCCTCTTCAGCGGGATTCCCCAGCTCCGCCTAATATTTGACTGTGGGTCTCTGCATCTGCTCCTATCAGTTGCTGGATGAAGCCCCTTTGATGACAATTATGCGAGGCTCCTGTCTACGACTGTAGCAAAGTATCATCAGGAATAATTTCATTTGTTTGTTTGTTTGTTTGTTTATTGCCAGTCATGTTTGGTTCAATCCTAAGTCTCTGGGCTATTAAGCCACTGGTTTCTGGCCTTCCACACAGTGTCAGAGGAGGGCTCCCTCTCATGGCATGGGTCTCAAGCTAGACCTTGGTCACTCCCACCAGTTCTGTACCACTTTTACCCCAGCACATCTTGCAGGCAGGACAAATTGTAGGTTGAAGGTTTTGTGGTTGGGTTGATGTCCCTGTCTCTCTGCTCAAAGACTTGCCTTATTTCAGAAGATGGCCACTTCAGGCTCTGTATCCCCCATTAGTAAGAGTCTTAGGTAGGGTCACCCTCATAGATTTCTGGGAGTTTCCATTATGCTAGGTTTCTACCTCACCCCATAATGCTCTCCCCTAGTTCCAATCATCTATCCCAGTATTCTCTCCCTCATCCCACCACCACCTGCTTCCTATTCCTGTCCCTACTGCTCCCAGTCCTCCCTAGACCCATCTATTCTATTTCCCTTTCCCAGGGAGATGCATGCATTCCTTGTTACTTAGTTTCTCTGGGTCTGTAGATTGTACCAGGATTATTCTTTCCTCTACAACTAATAATCACTCATAAGTGAGTACATACCATGTTTGTCTTCTTAGATCTGTAATACCATGCTTGTCTTTTTAGATCTGTACATACCATGTTTGTCTTTTTAGATCTGGGTTACGATGATTTTTCAACAACTGAGTAATACATTATATATATGTACCACATTTTCTTTCTCCATTCTTCCATTGAGGGACATCTAGGTTGTTTTCAGTTTCTGGCTATTATGAATAAAGCTGCTATGAATATAGTTGAGCAAGTGTCCTTGTGGTAGAATGGAGGGTACTTTGGGTATGTGCCCAGGAATGGCATAGCTAGGTCTTGAGGTAGATTGATTCCCAATTTTCTGAGAAACCTTCGTATTGATTTCCAAAGTGTCTGTACAAGTTTTCACTCTCACCAGCAATGGAGGAGTGTTCCCCTTGTTCCACATCTTTGCCAGCATGAGCTGTCACTTGGCAGGTGTAAGATGAAATCTCAGAGTCATTTTGATTTGCATTTCTCTAATGGTTAAGGATGTTGAACATTTAAGTGTTTCTCAGTCATTTGAAATTCCTCTGTTGAGAATCCTGTTTAGATCTGTACTCCATTTTTAAATTAGATTATTTAGTTTGTTTCTGTCTAATTTCTTGAGTTCTTATATATTTTGGATATTAGCCCTCTGTCAGATGTGGAGTTGATGAAAATCTTTTTCCATTCTGTAGGCTGCTGTTTTGTTCTATTGACATTGTCCTTTGCCTTACAGAAACTTTTTAGTTTCATGAACTTTTAGTTTTAGTTTCAAAAAACTTTTTAGTTTTTATTAATTGTTAATCTTAGTGCTTATGTATTGGTATTCTGTTCAGGAAGTTGTCTCCTGTGCCAGTGCATTCAAAGCTATCCCCCCCTTTCTCTTCTATCAGGTTCAATGTATCTGGTTTTATGTTGAGGTCTTCAATCCACTTGTACTTCTTGAGTTTTGTGCAGGTTGATAGATATGGATCTATTTGCAGTCTTGTACATGCTGACATCCAGTTAGACCAGCATCATTTGTTGAAGATGCTTTCTTTTTTCCATTGTGTATTTCTGGTTTCTTCTTCTTCTTCTTCTTCTTCTTCTTCTTCTTCTTCTTCTTCTTCTTCTTTTTTTTTTTTTTTTTTTTGTTTTTTTGAGAGAGGGTTTTTCTGTAGTTTTGGAATTCGCTCTGTAGACTAGGCTGGCCTTGAACTCTATCCGCGTGTCTCTCCCTTCCAAGTGCTGGGATTAAAAGCATGTACCACCACTGCCCGGCTGTATTTCTGGCTTCTTTATCAAAAATCGGATATCCATAAATGTGTGGATTTACGTCTGGGTCTTTGATTGATTCCATTAATCCACATGTCTGTTTTTATGACAATACCATGAAGTTTTTATTACTATATCTCTGTAGTACAACTTGAAAACAGGGGTGGTGATAACTCCGGAAGTTCTTTTATTGTATAGGACCGAAACAAAGACTTTTAGTGTTTTTCTTCCATTATTCCTTGGCATTTAAGGATCAAATTAGTGTATCTTTGGATTATATTGGGTTAGAATATTTGATTTTAGAAATTGCTGTTTGAGTCGCTCATTGAGTTTCATAAAAATTGTTAAATGAATTTTAATTTGGGACTAGCACACAATTCTCAACAAACTTCTGCCTTTTGTGCTATGGATATAAGTAAAACAGTGTTCTTAGAATTGATGACTGTAAAATCAACACTTCAGTCAATTCTGAAAACTGTTGAAGATGTTCTCTGTACTACAGCATCAAATCTTCAACCAAGATTTTAATTCATGTAAAAGTAAGGAAACACATCCATCTAATTAGTTTACAAGTTTCCTTTTGTTCTTTCATAATTTTACATAAAATTATATGTATAGCAAAAGTCTTTAAAAATAAATTTATGATTCATGATTAATAAACATTGGATTTATAAACCTATTTTTCATACTTATATTTGGTCATATAAAAATTTCTTGGACAAAAGGAGGTTGCAAATGGAAAACACTTAAGAAGCCATGCTGTATGTAGGCTATGGGCTACAACCTCTTTGGGAGTTGAGTGACCCTTACACAGAGGTCACCTAAAACCATCAGAAAACACAGATATTTATATTATGATTCATAACAGTAGAAAAATTATAGTTATGATACAACAACAAAAATAATTTTATGGTTGGGGGTCACCACAACATGAGGAACTGTGTTAAAGGGTGGAAGCATTAGGAAGATTTCGAACTACTACTCCAGGGGAAGTTGGCGGGAGCTGCCATGCTGAAACTGGACTCCTGTCATAGTCCCAAGTTCTGCTAGGCCTTCTTTACTCTTAACAGAACCTTTGAGACATTTGAAGAGTGTTTTCTAGATTATGTTTGAAATTAAAACAGAGGCATCTTGTAAAGAAGACAGAGGCAGGGATAAAATACTGACAACTAGTGGTGGCAAGGCTTTGCCAAACTAACAAGATCATCGTTAATCCGCTCATGCACCCAACTGCTCATTCAATACTTCCACTTAGATGTCTAACAGACATTTCAAACTATATTTAAAATGCCTCTGGAGCCAGGTGTGGTGGTATATGCCTTTAATCCCAGCACTCGGGAGGTAGAGACAAGTGAATCTCTGAGTTCAAGGCCCACCTGATCTACAGAATGAGTTCCAGGATAGCCAGGGCTATACAGAGAAACCCTGTCAAGGAAAAGGAAAAGGAAAAGGAAAAGGAAAAGGAAAAGGACCTTTTGTGTGTGTGTGTGTGTGGTGAGATGGCTCAGTGAGTGAAGGAATTTGGCACCTGCTGCTATGCCTGATGGTCTGAGTTTGATCCCTGAGATCCTCATGGCTAGGAGAGAACCAATTTCTGTGAACAGTTATGATGGGGGAAGTACTTCTGTGTATGTTTATCTTATTGATTGTTGAATAAATACTGTTTGGCCAATGAGACAGCAAGTTAGACAGAACTAGGAGTCAAAGAGGATTCTGGGAGATTTAGTAGAGAAGTGGTGGTCCAGGCAGGAAGTGACATAGCAAGGAGACTCATATTTGAGCGAGGAGAAACAGGAAGTTCTCTCTTTTCCCCTCCGCTCCTGCTCCAGCAGCACAATGTGATCCACCGACAAGGAGGGACGCCAATAAGGTGTCCGATAAGATAAGTCTTATAACATATATAGGTTTATGATAGTTAAGATTAAGCTAACAGATGAGAAGTCCTAGTCATTGGCCAAGCAGCTTTGAACCTAATACAAGTTTCTGTGTATTCACTTGGGCCTAACTCGGGCGGGTGGCTGGCATAAAGCTCATACGTGGTGGTGGGGCTCAGGCGGCCTTTGGCGGAAAGATTTATCGTAACACAGTTAAGGGTTCTGTCTGTTCATGCCTTCACTAAGACCCTGGCTTCTGGGAAGACTACTTTTGCCCTAGCCTTTCAACATGGTCTTTACACTATAAATGGACCTGGACAGATGGACCATGGCCCTTGTGGTTTTGTTTGTGTTGTCAAGATATTAAATTAAACCCTGGGAAGCCATGCTTCTTGTTGACTGATTTGAGCTATTTTGGCCATTTGCCCTAGGTGTTTTATTTCTCAAAACTCTGAAAAAAAAATGCCTCTGAATCTTTCTTAGACCCCACTTTGGCCTTAAAGCGGTGGTAGCCTGTTAGATGGAGTGACTTATTCTATGTAGGAGGGTAACTGAAAGCTCCTACTCCTATCCCCTACCTTCCTCTTAAGGAATGATACAGAGACAAGATATTCTCAACACCTCTATCAAACATCAAGAGCAATGTGCTTTTACTCTTGAATCACTGACTTTGAACTCACAATTCTTTTGTCTCAGTCTCTGAAGTACTGGGACTGTGGGTATGAACCACCATATCTGGCCTTACTTTTAAAGATGATGCCTTATAGCCAGGCGTTGGTGACTCACGCCTTTAATCCCAGCACTCGGGAGGTAGAGGCAGGGGGATCTCTGTGAATTAGAGGCCAGCCTGGTCTACAGAGCAAGTGCCAGGATAGGCTCCAAAGCTACATGGAGAAACCCTGTCTCAAAAAACAAACAAACAAACAAACAACAAAACAAAACAAACAAAAAAAGATGATGCCTTTTCATCCAGCCTCATGATGTGGAAAACTCAAGTGTTAAAGATGAGTAGAAAGAAGCAAAGCAAAAATGGAGCAAGCATCCACTATACAGACAGGGGAGCCTTTAAAATTTTTATTGCTATGATGTAATTGTGTCTAAAAATGGCACTCTCACCACTTCCTACTTTACTTGTATGATTCTGGCATGTGTTGCTGCTTTGGCCACTGGATGTATGCCAGGACAAGTCAGAACAGGTTTTCTTTCATACCTTTCAACATTAGAACTTAAAAAAATAAAATTATAATTCATGTTCCTGCTTATCTGTGTGTGTACCTCATGTGTGTAGGTGCCCACAGAAGACAAAGGAGGGTGTTAGAACCATACGAACGGGAGTTACAGCCAGCTGTGACCCACCTGATGTAGATTCTGGGAACTGAACCCATGTCTTCTGCAAGAATAACAAGTGCACTTAACCACTGAGCTATCTCTCTAACTCACTCAAATCAGAACATTTATTTATTTTATGTAGTTTTGTGTGTGCATGAACGAGTTCATGTGTACCATGTGCATGCAGCAGCCCATAGAAGCCAGAAGAGGGCATTGTATCTCCCAGAACTGGAATTGCAAATGGTTGCAAGTGGCTGTGTGGTTACTGGGAATTGAAACTGGGTCCTCTGCAAGAGCAGCCAGTGTTTTTAACTGCGGAGCAATCTTTCCAGCCCCATTCTCCAAACACTGGAACTTTTAAACTGGATTTTTTTCTCACTAAGTATCTTCTTTGCCTTATGGAGAAAGCCTTTCTTCAGGAGGCCCTGGATCTGGTCATGCTGGAAACCAGCTAAATTCTCACTCACTTTCTTTCTCATCTACATGTATGTGTGTGCAGGTTGTGTGTGCCACATATATGGAGCTCAGAAGACAAGTCTCAATAGTTGATTCTCTCCTACTACCATGTCGGCTCTGGGGTTCAAACTCATCAGACATGCAAAAAAGTGTCTGTATCCATCCTCTGAGCCAGCTCCCCTAACTGACTCTTGCTCTTTCTTCATTTTGTTCAAGCAATACTCCTTTTTGCTTGAGGCAATTTGTAACAGATTCTACTTATTCGTAACCAAGAGTTCTGAGTTGGGGGGTCATAATTTTATTTGACTGCTTCTTTTTTGTGTGTGTGGTTCTGGGATCAAACCCAGACAGAGTCTTGAGCATGCTAGCAAGTGGCCTAACACTGAGCCACATCTCCAATGATAGGACTCTTAAATATTACCAATCCATTAACACTCAATAATTGTATACTATTGAAAAGGTGTAATATACCCTGGCTTTGCCTACCTGCTCTAAGCTAGGTTCAATGAAGCTCGTAGTGATGGAGGTGATGCCAGATGTGATATTGAAGAGCCACCGGATGCCAGTGATCACAGTATGCAGGATGTGTTCCCTGCTGTGAACATAGTGATAGGCAGTGCTGAAGGCATTGGCAACACCCTGTGAAGACAGATAATTCAACTTGCATTTTTTTAAATTACAAAGTGGTTGGTAATAAATGTCTATTAAATTTATGATCAACAAGTTAGTTAAAATCAGTTCTCAAAGATTCTGTTATGCAAAAAGGATCATCAAGACATCAAAAGTGTAGAGACGCCCATATAACCTTTTATGCTTTGCGACAGGTATGTGTTGTCAGAAGAAGATAAACTTAGAAAGAAAAAGCCATTATTATTATTATTATTATTATTATTATTATTATTATTATTATTGAGACAGGTTCTCATTATGTGGCCCTGCCTGCCCAGCCTAGAACTTACTATGTAGACCAGGCTGGCCTTGAACACACAGAGATCCACTTACCTCTGCCTCTCAATTCCTGGAACGAAAATGACTCCCAATATTAGTTTTTTTATATCTCTACCATCAGGTCAACAAACAGAATGTTCCAAGACCTACAAATGCAGTTATGGCCTTGTCAAAAAAAACTCTAGGAACCACAAATTCTTCAAAGTCTCTCTCTCTCTCTCTCTCTCTCTCACACACACACACACACACCACACACACACACACACACACACACACACCTACATACCAACATAGTGGGAGACACAGACACAGAGATCAGATTCAAGAGATATAAGGGGGAAAAATAGATAGATAGATAGATAGATAGATAGATAGATAGATAGATAGATTGAATGAATGATTGAAGTCATCTAAGGGTAACCCAGGGATTTAATTTTCAGGACTAGAGACCTAATTTATAATCATTTGGGCATGCTCATTAATAAGACTATAAGTAGTTAATTTACTGACAACTCCATATTCTACCATTTGCTCCTAATACCTTTGTCTCATATTAATTTGACATGAGAATGAATCTTATTTTAAAAGATGTTAAGAGAAAGAACCTACCAGTTTCCTTCGTTATCCAGACAGTAAGGTGGAAGAGAAAGCAAAGCATAAAGGCAAATATATACAAAGAGCATGGGCTTAGAGGACAAAGAGCATGGGTGCAGTGAGCTCCTGACTTGCTGCAGTCCACAGACTGGGGTGGGATATTTGTACACTGTGCGAAGATGTATTTGCTGTGTTAATAAAAAGCTGAATGGTCAATAGCTAGGCAGAAGGGATAGGTAAAACTTCTGGGGACAGAGAGGACTCTGGGAAGGAGAAAGGCAGTGACACCAGGAGGCACAGAGAAGAAACAGGAGGTGCAAGATGGAAGAAAGGTAACGCCACATGATAGAATGTAGATTAATATAAATGGGTTAATTTAAGTTATAAGAGCTAATTAGGAGCAAGCCTAAACTATTGGCTGAGCTTTCATAATTAATTAATAAGTCTCTGTGCTATTTGTGAGCTGGAGGCCCAAAGGAAAATCTGACTATCTATGGCATCCAACTTGGAGGCTCAAATATCCACATAAGGCCTGAGAAAGTGGTCTCTCAGGTAGGCTCGGCACACAGAGATGTGGCTCTTTTAAGAGGCCCTGCTGTGCAGCAGGGAATGCTAGGTAAAAATGCCTGCTACCTCATGGACACAGCAGCTTCCCAGAGCTGGGGAGGTAAAGGTACCAGCATGAAGCTAGGCTCTCAGGAAAGAGAACTTTGTCTCATGGTCAGAGAATGCTGCAGTAGCCCAGAAAGCCAAGTCCACACACACACACACACACACACACACACACACACACACACACACACACAGAGAGAGAGAGAGAGAGAGAGAGAGAGAGAGAGAGAGAGACCCTAAAAAGGTACAGTATGCTTAAAAATGTGCTTAGATGCTGAAGAAAGGAAAGAAAATGGATATGGACAGTCATAGAAAAAATAGTTTAAGACTAATAAATTAAAGTCTTCAAAGAGAGAGTAAAATAATATAAAAAGAATAAGCTACATAAGGATGGGAACTACCCAGGACATCTGGATCCTGTATGGTGTTCTGTTGACTTTGAATTTTTAAGGTTGAGAACCACGAAAAAGCATCACATGTTCAGTTAAGAGTAGAAAGAGAATAAACTTACGGACCTTTGCTCACTTGCTACTATGCTCAGCTAGCTTTCTCCTAACACAGTTCAGGACCCCTCTGCCTTTGAATGGCACTGCCTACCACAGGTTCCTGCATCAATCAACAATCAAGATAACCCCTGGCAGATGGGCTAATCCAAACTACATAATTCCCCATGAAGACTCTCTTCCCAGTTATTCTAGGCTGTGCTAACAGTTAAAGCTAACTAGTACACCCTTCTACATGCTCGTTCCTACTTGGTGGGGCTCAGTGGTTTTAGTCATTAGTTCTGTTACAAAGCATCAGTTTCTGTTCCTATGTTTAGTGCTAGGAGACGCGATGAACAATATTCCCAGAGAAGTTCAGGCATGGATTTGTCCAAGTCCTTCCACAAATTATAAGGAACATGTCAAAAGGCTGATAGATAAAGGAAACAGAACAAGCATGAGGACACTGTCTACACACAGTTTTACTCTCCTCCTCTGCTGACTTTGAAGGCATTTAGACAGAGAAGCTGTTGGCTACTGCTCTTGTATACGTCTAGATTACCTGATAGAATCTGATCTCATGAGGTAGGAAGATGTTTATTTCACGGGGATCTCGAAGAGTGTCGACTGCCAGGACCCCAAAGATCCTCATATATGCATCCTGAAGAGGCAGAGCCAGGAATGACCCATTATACTCATTCTTGCTGCGGGTATTGTTCCAGAAGAAGATGTTCCCGTGGTGCTGAACTTGTGGTACATGGATTGGCTTGCCTTCATCCACTACTGTAAAGCTGTTGAAAAGGGATTCGAGGATAGGGGGAAAAATCACAGGCTTTAGACTAAACCATAGAGAAAACAAAATATAGTGTTCTACAATTCTAAGCATTATATGTAGAGGCGGTGGATCAGGTAATACCAACAGTTTGGAGGGTCTGACTCAGAAAGATTTAAAAAATAACGAGAGGGTTAGAAGTGAAGCTCAAAGGTAGAGTGCTTGTGGCATCTGTGAGGCATCAAGTTCAGTCTCCAGTATTGCAAGAGAGAAACAGAAATAAGGAACCAGCCTTAGGTCTTAACAGAAGACATATTATGTACCCGACGCCAGGGCTACAAATTATGGGGCCAAACCCTTAGACAGTGAAACATTTCCAGAGTGAGTTCTAAAAATGATCTGGTAAAACCAATTAGAACCATGAGGCTTGAGAGATGGATCAGTTAAAAGAGAGAGAGAGAGAGAGAGAGAGAGAAAGAGAGAGAGAGAGAAGCCTAATGTTTGGCTATGGGAGGAGGAAAGAGAGAGAGAGAGGAGGAAAGAGAGAGAGAGACAGAGAGAGAGAGAGAGAGGGGAGAATCCTCCATGCTTCCTCCTCCTCTTGCAGAGGACCTGGGTTCGATTCCCAGAACCCACATGGTGCCTCATAACTGACCATAACTCTAGTTCCAGGGGATCTGACACCCTCTTTTGACCTCTGCTGGCACCAGGCATGCAAGTGGTAAACAGACATGCATGCCAGCAAAACACCCATCACACAAAACAAATTCATTGATAAAAATACAACAGCAAAAACCATTTAGGACTGGAAGCCCATCAGGCCCCACTCTGGAAGCATTGGTGACTTAGAGACAGTTCTTCCTTGAGAAAGTCACCAAGGTTCAATGCCAATTTTCTTCAAAGTGGAAAATACTGTTTTTAGAAAGATGTAACCAGAGCCAGGAATGGTGGCACACACCTGTAATCCAGCATTTGGAAGGTAGAGGCAGGAGGATCAGAAGTTTAAGGCCAGCCTTGAGTACGTTGTGAGTTGGTGGTCAACCTGAAGTACATGAGATCCTATCTTTAAAACGAACAGAAAGAAACTGACTCTTAAACAGGTTCTTACCTGATTCCCTTCATGTCCCTGTAGAGTACTTTGTTCAGGACAAATGGAGCATCATCTAGGGTACAAGCCACATTCCTCAAGAGAACATCCCCCCTGTTTGGCAGCAGTAGGTTTTCTTCTAAGAGGGAAATGTGAGCACTGATCTTCTTATTTCCATGAGCCTCAGCATCCTGTGGCAAAAGATTTCTGATCTTGTGTTTGCATCTGTCAACGGCTATAGAGATCCCCTAATCCCTTTGCTAGCCTATTTGGGAACCTAGCACCAATAATTTCATTGAATAAATGATGCAGAGGTTACCAATCATGGGCAGTGGGAAAAAGGCTGACACCATGTTGCCCCTCAAACCTGAGTTGTATTTTAGTCAATCTTATATGTAGTTAGATTGCTTTACTGAAAACACAACCCAAACCAAAATAAAACCTCTTAACTTTAATCAAATTTAAAGGTTCAAAGCTGAGATCCTTTGGAACCACACTTATAGTCGAAGGCGAGGGACTTGAGTAGAGTATTGATTTTGGAGGGCTGCAGCTAGAAGATGCCTGCATTCTTCACCACCTAAACATGAGTTTGAAAACAAAGCTCTCGGGGATCTGCTTTAAGTCTTAAGAAGATTTCTTTACTTTTATGTTACAGGTATGGGTGCTCTGCTTACATGCATGTGTGTACTCCATGTGCATGCCTGGTGCCAGTAGAGCCCAGGAGAGGACATTAGATCTCCTGGAACTGGAGTTACAGGTGATTGTGAGTCACCATGTTGGGGCTGGGAACCAAAGCTGGGTCCTCGGCAAGTACAAGTGTGCTTAACAGCTGAGCCATTTTTCCAGCCTCAAGGAATTCTTAACAGTATGGATTTGATCAGGGACATTTCAGGAAAGAGTTTCTTGGAGGCTAAGACTGTAGACTTTCTGTTCTAAAATTCACACACAAAGATTAGATTTCACTGTGGCATTCATCAAAGTTTGTTTTTGTTGTTTCTTTTTCCCCCCATTCTTTTCTCTCCCTTGCTCCCCCCCTTACCCCCCACGGTCCCCTTTCTGTTTTCATGTCACATGTGACCCTTTGCACTCCCCTCTCCTCAACATATCCTGTTCCCTTCTTGTGGTCTTTCATCTAGTTTCATAGTCTATACTCATCTTTATCCCCTGGGATAACTATTCATGCTTGTCAACTTGACTACATCTCAAATTAATCAAAACATAAGCCGCTGGGTACACCTGTGAAGGATTTTTCTCGATTGAATTATTTGAGGGGGGAAGACCCACCCTAAATTTGGATATTTTGAGGGGGGGAAGATCTAGCTTAAGTCTGGACCACACCTGGTGGCAGCCTATATAAAGAACACGGGAGAACAAAGCATTGCTCTTTGCCTGCTCACCCTCACTCTCCCTGGCAAGTTCATTCCTTCATTGGTATTGGAGCTACTTCCTGGGGATTCTGGTGTATACTGAAGACCAGTTGAGACACACAGCTTCATGAGCGGAACAGCTACTGGATTCTTTGGCCTTCCATTGGTAGACAGACATTGTTGGACTAGCTGGACAACTGCCTGTAAACCATTCTAATACCCACCCCTGCCTCTTTTTTTTTTTTTTTTTACAAAATTATAATTTCTCCCTCTCCCCCCAGTCCCCCCCACCCCTGCCTTTTATTTGAGACCGGTTCTTTCTATGTCCTGGAGATCACTATGTAGACCAGGATGGCCTTGAACTCACAAAGATCCTCCTGCCTTTGTATCCTAGATGCTGGAATTAAAGGTATGTACCATCCCACTGAATATTTCTCTCTCTTTGTCTGTCTGTCTGTCTCCACACACACATTCTATCAGTTCTGTTTTTGTAGAGAACCCTGAATAACACATCCCCTTTACTTACATACACACAGCATAAAAAGTTAGGCTCTGAGTATGAGTGAGAACGTGCAATTCTTATCTTTCTGAGTCTGATTAACTTCACTTAATATTTCTAGAGTGCTCCATTTTCCTAAAAACTTCATAATTGTTTTTCTTTACAGTTGAACAAATTGCATTGTGTATCTGTGCCACGTTTCCATTATCCATTATCCTATTGGTAGCCATCTAGGCTGCTTCTATTTTCTTTGCTAATGTGAAAAATGTGGTAATGAATGTAGATATACAAGTCTCTGTGGTAAGATACAGAGTTCCTTGGTATATGATCAGGAATGATACAGCTGAGCCACATGGTAGTTCTATTTTTAGCCTTTTGAAGAACATCCACACCAATTTCTGTAGTGGTTGCATTAGTTTATACTCTCATCAGTGCTGGATAAGGTTTCCTTCCCCCCCCCCCCCCCCCCCCCCCCCCCCCCCCTATTTATTTCATGATCATAGCCATTTTGACTGGGGTGAGATGGAATCTGAAACTAGTTTTAATTTGTGTTTCCCCAATGACTAAAAAAGTTGAAAATTTAAAAAAAGTTGGCCATTTGTCTTTCTTATCTATCTATCTATCTATCTATCTATCTATCTTTTTTTTTAGATAAGGTTTCTCTGTGTAACTTCACTGGCTGCCCTGGAATTCACTGTGTAGACCAAGCTGGCCTCAAAATCAGAGATCCACTTGCCTCTGCGTCCCTAGTGCTGGGATTAAAGGTGTGTGCCACAACTGCCTTACTTATTTACTTATTTTTTGAGACAAGGTCTCAGTATGTAGTTTTGGCTGACCTGAAAGATTCCCTGAAATCCACTTGGTGGAAGGTGAGAACTGCCCCCACAAAGTTGTCCTTTCATCTCTACACAAAATCCTCCCCAATAATAAAAATGAAATTTAAATAATGAAAAATTACTTTTTGATGGGTAAATTGTTCCTCAAGCATAATGCAAAATAAATGCAGCTTGCACTGTTGCATATCTCCCTACTGGCATTTTTCATTATCATTCTATTATCTAGTCTTAGCATTTTTGACTTTCTGAACAACTAAGTTTCCAGGGCATTATTTTCACATCTATCTTGCTCCAATCATTCCAGCTTTATCTCACTTAGCTTGCTTTATTTTTATGCATTTTTTTTTAAAAAAGACAGAACTTTATGTAGCCAAGCCTGGCCTCAAATTCAGTGTCTAGCCAAGGATGTTTTTAAATTCTGATCCTCTTGGCGATACCTTCTGAGAGTTGAAATATGTGCCATTCAGGCCTGACTAACAAAGAGCTGGGGATTGAACCCACAGCTTCGTACATTCTAGGCATCCCGTCAATTGAACTACATCCCTAGCCCCTCACTTAGGTTTGAGTCATTTATAATTTTTTTTAAATAAATAAACCATCTCTAACATTACTCAGTGATTTTTCTTTTTTCTCTCTCTCTCTTTTTTTTTTTTTTTTTTTTTTTTTTTCAGCATCCGGTGATTTTTCAAGCAAATTTTATGTGTTCCGCTTATGTACCCATTGAACGTCATATACTGTGAGAAAATGTTTCCTCTTATATTTCTTCAGAAAGCATACCTGTGTGAGGGCCCTAAAGGTCTCAGAATACACTGGCTCCAGCGACACCCCACTTGTCTCTGCAGCATGTTGGATCTGATGTAGCCATTTCCGTCTTGCACAATTCCTTAGACCCTCAATGTGGCTCCTCTCTAAAGAGCTCGTCAGGAATTCCACGACACTTTCCAGAACTTGGTCTTCATTGCCCCTGAGTTCAGACACAACCAATTCTATGTACCTCTGAAACTGCTTTGAAGATAATTTTACTTCATGACCAGGATGTGGCTTTGGGAACTGGATGTGTAGTTTAGCTGAAAGACACAAGTGAGAAACAGAGAATGGACTAAAAGTTCATCAATCTATGGGAACTCCTTCATTTTCCTCTTCTAGCCCCCACGTGGGTGCTCTATGGATAACTGAGCACATTTAAAAGGTATCCAAGCACTGTGCTGACCTCCTACACTAACTCAGTATGACTTCTGTGCCGGCTACATCCTTGTTTTAATTCTACCTCTAGCCAGGTGAATTCCTAGAGTCTACTGTAACTCCTCCTGACTCTTTGCCTTCCATATCCTATCCTGTTGCTTTTTGGCACTGTCCCTTGTGGCCACTCATTTCCATTCCAACTTTTATAATCCCAAGCATACTTTATCACTTTATGGTAGACTTACCAATAGTAAATGATTCTTTCATTTACTACTACTTGTTGAGTTAGGAATGTGGCTTGATGGTTGTGCACTTGCCTAGTATTTACAAAGCCCTGGGTTTAATCTCCAGGACAACACATACACACACACACACACACACACACACACACACACACACACACACACTCACACATTATGCAATTCTATGGTTCAAGTTCTTACTTGAATATGACCTAGTTTCAAATCATACCTGCCCTCCATACCACCAAAGAATGGTATTCTCATCCTACTTATAGTTCCTGACCATGGCCTGCATATATCTGCATCCACACTCTAAAAAAAAAAGTATTCTTCTACCATATATAATATTCCAATTGCAATTTCCCCTCCTTCCTCTCCTCCTAGTTCCTCCCTACCACCATCTTTCTCCCCCAGATTTACTCTTCCTCCATTTCCTTTTAGAAAAAGACAGGCCTCCCAGGGATATCAACCAAACACGGCATATCCAGGTGCAAGGAAACTAAGCACTTCCCCTCATACTAAGGATGGATGAGGCAACCCAGTAGGAGGAAAAGGGTCCCAAAAGCAGGCAAAAGAGTCGGAGACAGCTTCTACTCCCACTGTTAGGAGACTCACAAGAAGACTTAAGTTACACAACTGTAACATATGTGCAGAGTGCTTAGGTCAGACCCATGCAGGCTCCTTGATGGTCAGTTCAGTCTCTGTGAGCCCCCGTGTGTCCTGGTTAGATGATTCTGTGGGTTTTCTTGTGGTGTCCTTGGCCCCTCTGGTTCCTACAATCCTTTCTTCCCCTCTTGGGCAGGATTCCCCAAGCTCAGCCTAATGTTTGGCTATGGGTCTCTGTATCTGCTCCCCTCAGTTGCTGGATGAACCCTCTCTGGTGATGATTATGCTAGGTTCCTGTCCCCAAGTATAGCAGGGGTCCATTAGGAAACATTTTATTGACTTTTTTTTTTTTTTTTTTTTTGCCAGTTGTGTTTGGTTCTATGCTAGGTCTCTGGACTACGCATACTTTTTTTAAATTCTATTTTTGCAGTGTTCAGGATTAAAATCAGAATGCCACACATTATAGTACCCCAGCACTAAAGCATGCTCCAGATATTTTCTTTCATTTTCCTTTTTAAAATCTTAAAAATTTTATTATTTTACCTGTTTGCCTGCATGCATGTCTGTATATCACATGTGTGCCTGGTGCCCTTGGTGGCCTGAAGAGGACACCAGATCCCGTAGAACTGGAGTTCATCTCACGACAGATGGTTGTGAGCCACCATATGAGTGCTGGAATTCAAACTAGGTCCTCTGGAAGAGCAGCCAGTGCTATTAACCACCGAGCCATCTCTCCAGCCCCTCTTTCATTTTCCTTTTGTACAATGATGGATCTACTATCAAACTTGAACATTATCAGTAACTTACCTTTTTATCCTCTTCTGCCCTGTTCTAGCCCCTGTCTCCTTGCATCTCTTACCTGAAATTTGGCTTTTTTTCTTATCCTCACACTGTCACAGTTACATAACAGTGACTGTGTTGTAAATGAATATTCCCAAGCATTGCATAGCTTAGTTTTACCTGTGTGTAGATACTAAACAAAGATTATCAAGCCACATGTAGTTTTCTTGGACGTGCTTTTTAAAATGTTTTTTCCTTATCTTTTATCTTCTAATTTAACTTAATTTTTATTCTTTATGAGTGTTTTGCCTGCATATATGTCTGTATACCATATGCATGTCCTTGGAGACTAGGAGAGGGTGTCAAATCCCCTGAAACTGGAGTTACAGATGGCTGTGAGCTGCCATGTGGGTGCTGGAAATCAAACCTGGGTCCTCTGGAAGAGTAGCCAGTGCTCTTAACTTCTGAGCTATCGCTCTAGTCCCTTGCTTAAAGAATTAAAGATTATTTTATGTTTATTTTCATGTATGTGTGTCTTTGTGTGTGTGTGTGTGTGTGTGTGTGTGTGTGTGTACATACAGAAAGCAAAAGGATGTCAGATCCCTGGAGCCGGAGCTTTTGGCAGTTGTGAGCCATGTGAAGTGGGAACTGCTCAGCATGAGCAGCAAGGACATCTCTCTAGCCCCAGGACTTGCTTTTTCATTCATTCAATTATACTACCATGCCCATCATCATGTTATTTCTGTAGCTTTGACTCATTCTTCTTAGCAACTGTATTCATTATGCAAGTATAACAACATTGATTATTTGCTCTCCTGGCAATATGCGTTTAATGTTTCACTCCTAGGAACTGCATTCTAAGCGTTTCTTTGGTACATGTCTCCCGGTGCATCTGTGAAAGTGCTTTGACATTTATTATAAATTAACAAGTCATAGGGATGTGATGGCTTATAATGATTGCCAACCCAACAGGGTCAATAATTACCTTTGTGACAAACCTCTGGGCACATGTGTGAGGGAGTTTTAGATTGGGAAAATTGAGGTGGCAGGGTACATACCTTGGACTAGATCCCTTGAACTAAATAAAAAAGAGAAAGTGAACTGAGTGTCAGTATTCACTCCTGTTTGCTTCCTGACCGTGGTTGCTGTGCCAATGTGACTAGCTGCCTCCTTTGCCTGACACCATGCTTTCCTCGAGGTGATGGCCCATGCCCCAAATTGTGAGTCAAAAGAAACCTACCCTTCCCTAAGCTGCTGTCATCCATCAGGCGTCTCTGCCACAGCTGAGAAACGTAACCGATAGATAGGGCACATACCTCTTCCTTTTAAAGTGGGTTCTAGCTTTTCTCTCAAAATATCTTCCATGTGTTTTTTCCTTCCCTTTAATGACATTTGTTTGACAAGTCCTTTTATCGTGTGGAAGCTCTTATTTCTGTAGTTAAGTATTCACTGATTCTTAGCTCTTCAGCATCCACTGATTTTCTTCCTAGTGTTTGCTGTTGCAGTTTTGCCTTGGGGAAACCACTCTGCTCTCATTGTAGCTTACAGGTGGGATCCTTTGTGGTTTTAGAGGGAGAAGATGTACACCAGGGTCACACCAATTAGGACATTCTATGCCTCTAGTCAGTGGCTGCTTTAGTATAGTATAAGGCTATGCCTTTTTGTTTTTAGTTTTTTGTTTTGTTTTTTGTTTGTTTGGTTTTTGAGACATAATCTCACTATGTGGTACTGGCTAGCCTGGAACTTGCTATGAACAGGCTGGACTTGAACTCACAGAGATCCACCTGCCTCTGCCTCCTAAGTGCTAGGGTTAAAGGTGTCTGCCACCATGCCTGAATGTCAGACTTTCTGCTTGAGTAATTAGGTGAAGAATACATTTTATTCTTGTTGACTTGAATGATCCTGAGATAATGTTAGTCTGACCCTACTTACCACAAAGAACAGGACCCAAACAGAAAGGGCTAGGCTGAAAACAAGAGAATAAGGAAGGACTGGACACCTAATGTCATAATTTGGTTGTGAGCCTAGCCTTTAACGGCTGAGACATCTCTCCAGCCCCTAATGTCATAATTTGAACCCCAAAATCTAGTTGTACTCTAAACTAGACCTGGATGTTATATGTGAGAGTGGTTCCTTTCTTTCCTTTGGGTTGTGTTTTCTATTATCTAAACTAAAACATCCTAAGTGTTCCACTCACTAAACAGATTAAAATACTGTATTCTGCTCACAGAGTAGAACAACAACAAGGATAAAAATACTTCATGAAGCCGAGCAGGGTGGCAGCACACCTTTAATCCCAGAATTTAGGAGACAGAGGCAGGAGGATCTCTATGAGTTCACGGCCTGCCTAGTCTCCATAGTGAGTTTCAGGACTGCAGGGCTAGAGATCCTATCTCAAAACAAAACAAAACAAAACAAACAAAAACGAGCTTCATGGGTTTATCTTCTTACTATTCTTTGTCTGCTCTTCATTCCTTTCTCTCCTTGAGCAATCTGGTCCTAAGGCCATTATGATGGATGGAACAAGGCAAGCATCTGCTTTTGGTCAGAGAAAGCCAAGGTGAGGCAGAGCAGAGCATCAGAGTTCACATGTGCTAAGAATGACACCCTTCGAGAATATCTCGACATGGGCTGTCAGAGCCTGAGCAGTGTGAGGACCACAGTGGAAGAGCAACCTTTAGCCCGTGTGGGGGAAGACGGTGGGTCCACAGATAGGTTAGGTTTGGATGTCAAAGTCCCATTTAGATTTCGAATGCTGAATAGAGTGAGGAGGGCATCTAAATGGAATGCCATCTGGCCTAAGGAGTCACAACCTAAACAAGATAAAGAGAATATTTATATCAAAGGGAAGTCCAGTATGAGAAATTGGTCTTAGTAAGACTTCCAGGTAGCAATCAGCTCTGCATTGGGAGCTGGAGTGGGATGAAGAGGGCATCTATGTGGAAAAAAGCCTTGGCATGCATTAGAGCCTAAGAAACATGTATGTGGTGTGAACTCATGATTTTTAATATCAGTAGAGAAGTGTTTTATATTCACATTGCCATGCAGGTGCCTATGCAAATTCTCTACCTCTACCTTCTGGGAAACCCAGAGTAGATCCTTGGGAGAAATGAGCATGCGTGTAACTCACATCTTGGCTTCTAAATACTACCCTCCAGTAAAAGAGACTCAGGTTGTTTGGGGGAAGTCGATGGTTCAGGATAGAAACAGGTGAAGCATAAGATCTACCGGAAGATCTCGTATCAGAAAGCAAGAATGATGAAGACACGGCAGAGGAAACTGTCTAACATTTCTTTAAAAACCAAGAACACCTGTTTCTGTGGCGGCTCAGAAATCCACAACAAATTATGCTGAGTAAAAAGAAGCCTTACCTAAAAGAGTGTATAATGTAAGAGTCTATTTTTATTAGGTTCTAGACAAGAAACCTTATGGCGGAAAAAAGCTCAGTGGTTGCCTTGGGAATTGTGCTGTGGGGCTGCATGGGAAAAGGACAGGATGAGCGTTTTCTTCTATTTCTCCAAAGAAGCATGAGCTACACTGCCCAAACTCAGCAAACTTACACTTAAAATTTACACACCTACATTTGTGGGAAGTTTTGCATGAAGAGAAAAAAAAAAGTTAGCAAATATCGAACTCACATTAATTGTATGCATATCTGTGTATTCAGGAAGAAGTGTATATTTTGCTTTGAGATAGAGCAAAAATAACAGAAATAGGTGGAAAGATAAGGAGTGGATAGAGTGACAACAAGAAGCCACTGGAAAGTGCCAGTGGTCAAGCTTAGGCTGTGGCTGTATAGAGGCCTCATTATAAGGTTCTTTCAGACTTGCTGTATATTTGAACATTTTTATCGCGCATTGAGGTGGGAGGCTTACAGCAGGCAGGTTGGGGTTGGCTAAAAGTTCTGAGGGCCAATGAATCAGTTCATACACATCATGCTTCTCATAGCTCTTTATCCTTCAAGAAATGCTCTTCCCAAAAGTTCTCTCTTAAAAGCTTTCTTTAAGATTTCTCCTTAAAAGTTCTCTCTAATAAGCTCTCTCTTAAAGTTCTCTTTCAGAAGTTCTCTTTAAAAATTAGAGTTCTTTCTAAAATGGCTCCAAAAGTCCCTTCTCATCCCACAAGGCTTCTAGTTTTTATATCCTCAGGCAATTTACTCTCTGACAATAGGGCATGCATATCCCTCAGAGCCAGGAAGGCAGATAAAATCTTGAGAAATTGGAGCGCCTCACGTCTGGGGGGTGGGGGGAGACATGATTTGCAACACATGCTATTAACTGATTAAAGGGGCCTTCTTAGCACTATATAAAAGGGAAAAACTAAAGCTACTAGTGTGAGATCCAGAGGCTGCAGCTCTTATTGCTGATGCCTCATTGAGAAGGAATTCTTTTCTCTGGGGGCTATTTGAGAATACAAAGCACCCAAGTATATATTCTATATACAGCCAAATTCGTAGTAACAAATATTCTGGAGTTGATACCTAGAATATTAATTGCTACTTCTGTAATAAATGATAAAGGCTTGCAGCACATTTTCATAACACAGTGTTGAGCATGGGGAAGGACATGAGAGGACATAGAAGCCAGAAAATAGGACTAAGTCTGGGGAAATATAAGCATTAAAACAAACAATGAAGCTGGGCGGTGGTGGCGCACACCTTTAATCCCAGCACTTGGGAGGCAGAGGCAGGCAGTTCTCTGAGTTCCAGGCCAGCCTCGTCTCCAGAGCGAGTGCCAGGATAGGCTCCAAAGATACACAGAGAAACCCTGTCTCGAAAAACCAAAAA